AATACTTTCTAGTGTCAAATAAATTCTAAACACGAGAAAAAACTAGTGATTAATCGACCTCAAAGAAAAATCATGATTGTCAATTTTTCATATGGTTTGGTTTTTAATAGTTATTATATTATTATATACCTACCTATTTCCGTGTGGTGACTTATTAAGAATACGGAGTCTCTGAATTCGACACCAACTCTATACCAACCCGTCTGGCTAGCGTGGTAGTAGTCCAAAACCTCTTTTCTAAGGAGAGGCCTTTTTTCCAGCAGTGTACTATTAAAGTCTGTTGTTGTTGTTGATGATGATTTACCTATAATAACTATTTAAATTATAGGTTAGAGGGCTCAGACCTGTCAAAAGCTAATCTAACCGAATTACAAGTGGCCCAGCAATTCTTTTCTACCTTTCCTTTGAAAATACTACCGATTGACCTAATGTCGGGCACATTTCACAGCACTAGTCTTACCAATATTACGTTAGTGAAACTAAAACTAGAGTAGTCAAACTGTCTGCATTTAAAACTCTTCTGTCCGCCCGTCGTATTCTGGAATATAAACCAGAGTAAAGGCAGGTATATACACTGTTAGGTTTACCAAATCTGCAAATAATAATACTAATAAAACCTTGCTTATTCGTAGCCTTAATTTTTTGACGTTTATCTTTTTTTGTTTATAATAATTTGTTGATGCCTGGATTAGTGTTTGCTAAATAAGTGAAGAGGTACCGTTAGGAATACCTCATTTATAAAACCGCTACTGCTATTATATGTTGATTAAGAACAAGGCCTTTTGAATAGCGAATTTGTTAAAGTTATAAAAATAGAATGCTTACCACTAGATGTTTCTATGTAGAATTCATATTTATTCAATTAGGTACATGTTATAAAAAGTGTTTAAAAAGTTTACGGTCGAAGTAAGTTGTACATGCTGGTTAATTATTTGCAAGTCGAAATGAAGGCGAATCAGAATGTCAAATTAAGTATTATTATATTGGGTGGTACAAACACTCTCTTAAAGGGTTCATGAAGTAATAAACAAACCGTTCTGTCTTTCTTTCTGTACAATTAAAGAATTTATTTTGTATAAGGCAGCAGCAATCTCTTATTCTTCTACATTTTGTAGACATTAATAATATGCTAAATTAAGATGTAAGTATATCTGGATAGAGTTCACCCAGACACACAACAACTTATTTTGCTCACATAATTATTTGTCTTGCTTGTAATAAAAAATAATACTGAGTATAAAAAGTATAGAATTTTCCACTAGATTTAGATTTCTTTTAAATTTGCTGGAATTTCATGGCTGAGAACGAACAAAACTTTTGTGTTATAAATGCCCAACAAAAAAAATGACAAGTACCTAATTACTGACGATCATCAAGACAACGTGACTTTGAATTGAGTGAAAGTAAATGACATCTCATTTTTATAGATGTTTTAGCAATTATTGAAATATAAAAAATAATATCATGGTATTAATTTTATTAAAATTTATATGAACTGGACGTCTTAGAAATAAAAAAATAGCTTAGATTACGACGACCCTCATCAAACTACTATCTTACTACTATTATGGATGTAGATGGTAGAGGGAGACGGCCTGGGGGGGGGGGGGGAGCTACTGGGTCAACTTGCCGTGCTTTGAATAATTTTAATAAAATGTTAATGTAATGCAATCATTTTCGTCAGCAGAAGTGACAGCAAATGATTACTCCACACACATGAGTGCCTCAGTGGTACAGTGGTAGCGTATGTGGCGCTGTGTAAAGTCTCGGGTTAGATTCCCGGTTGGGTGCTTTCTGTGTGTAATATGTATGTAATTAAAATAAACAAAGTATATGTATAAGTATTCTATCAGTCAATTAAACTTACACATAGTACAAGCTCTACTAAATTTGAAACTAGATGGCGTTGTGTGTCAGATGTCCGAAAATATTATTGTTATTAATGAATGAAATACATGTATAATGAAATAGTAATGGTAGAATAAAATAGTATGCCTAGACCTGAAATCGTTACCATTTAAGTGCATACCTGATAGTTTCAGGCACCGCTAAAGCAAAGGCAAAGGAAGGTTTGAAATTACCTGACAATCCCAAATACAGATAGCATATTTAAGTTACATTTCAAGTTTCACTGAAGTTACTACCGCATGTGTTGGAACCGTTGTCTTTCTCGGAACGGTTAATTTTACCACGACGATAAACAAGTGACAAACCATACGTTACGGGCTACGTAGGCATGCGGAAGTGGAGTCGAGCCACGAGGAATATTAGTTACAGCAGATACTTGAGATCTTGTGAATTTTAGTATTTACTGTTGTGGGAGAATCATATTACACATATGGGCTAGGTTCGACCGGAGTCACATCACAGCCTCTCAGAAAACCGGTGTTAAGCAGGACTTTCGTTGCTGCAGGACTTTTTAACTGTTGCCAAGTAAGTGACGTAACCGGACCCAATACCCCCAAGGACTGAAAGGGTGGCAACACTCCTGTGATTCTTCAGTTACTGGTGTTCATGGGCAACGTCTGTCTGCTGTCTGTCTGCTCATTTGCCTCGCTTTATCATTAAAAAAAAACTAGCTGTAGCTGCAGCGGTTTCGTTCACATATACGTTTCCTTATTGACATGAAATCATAATTCCTTAAGCAAGATATAATAAGCATATGCTTATTATATCTTGCTATATAGCTAATAATGAGCTTAAGGATATCCTTAAGCTCATTATTAGCTATCTAGAAGTTAAAATGCCGTTACACTCAGTCAGACATCAGACTTGTTTGAGATCAAAGTAATACGAATTGGAAACCTATGCATTGCGCTATCGAGGTGAGTGTACGCCGTTCACAATAAAATTGTTCAGTTAGTATAAATTGTTCTAGCCTTTACTATAAAATAACAAAAATATTGAAAGAAACATTTATTTAATAATAATATCTTTATTCAGTAGGAGAATTATGTCCAATTAACATCCTGCATCTGTACCTGAACTAGGCTGAACACCTGTATCTCAGGCATCAGCGCTCTTCCACCATAATATTAGCTAAAACACTGAATAACTTTTTATTACATTGTTAGCAGATCCAATTAACATTGACTTAATACTATATTTAGTATGTACACGAGTTCCTCTCTTTGTATATTTGATGTGAGTGAGTGACAGGGTGTGTAAGGGTTTTGTAATTACTGGGTTATACTGGGTTTTATAATTTTTTCTCTCTTCGTAATCCAATTTTTTCATCCAATTGTCAAGAGTGATTTTACAGCGTTTACGGTTGAGAGGATATAAATTTAATGTTCTGTTTATCATATTCTAAAGAAACGGCCCAAGAAAGCAGAAATATTTTATGTAAAACATAAAAGTGAACGAGAAGTTTCACAGATTTTAATACGACGCCTGTTAGTAGATACCATATTAGGATCATAATTGAGTAGTTCATGTTGTTTTAATGTAGTGTGATAATTAAAAATTCACACGTCCGGGCTAAACACCGTGTAGGGTAAAGATGCGGCCGATAGGTACACACCTTGAGTACTGCTCTTTAAGCTCTCTCTAATGGCATGAGAATATATTTAGAGGTTCCCCCCAAGATGTATTACAGTAGGCTAGTATTGATTCACAGATAGCAGTGTAGATTGGCTTTACCCCGATGCGGCTAGTAACGTGACGGAGATTTTTAAATACATAAAGTAGCTTCCTAACACGTGAAGTTAACAGTTCTACATGGAGTTTAAAGTTTAGGTTATAATCTATAATTATTCAAAGATACTTTATGTGGTTAGTTCGCGATAAGGGGTCACAGGAACATAACTCCGAGTTTAAAGAAGGACAAGTGTGAGCCGTTACACTAAAACTGCATGATGGTTGGCTAGATTTCGTGATAGTAAAGGGTATATATATTTTTGCCGCATTTAGTATAAATTGTTTTTGCGCAGCCAAGTGGAGACCGAATTAAATCCAATTTGAGCCCTATTAAAAACTTCCTGCCAAGTGCTTGCTGAGAAAAGTAGCGCTGTACCATCAGCATATGCTATGATCTTTCCATTGAATGGTTTTATTTTAAGGAGGTCATTTATATAAATGAGATAAAGTACAGGGCCCAAAATACTCCCCTGGGGCACCCCTTTCTTGACAGGTAGGTCACAGCTAACATGTCCGCCAAACATAACACACTGATATCGTCCTGTGAGATAGTCTTGAAATAGTTTCAGTTGGTGCTCCTCAATTCCAATGCCCTCGAGCTTTGATAAGAGCATGCTTTTTTCATCATCGTTATCATCAACAGCATTTAATAGACCACTGCTGGATATAGCCCTCTCCTTAGAAAGGAGGTTTTGGCGTACTATACCCCGCTGGCCAGACGGGTTGATATAGGGTTTTTTTTAAGTTATTCTTCTCTTTACAGTGCTGTTATTCTGCATAGTTTGCTCCCCTAGTCGAGTCTTACGACACCCACGTGATGAACAAAGGTGGCGACACTCCGTATTTTTAATCCGTCATCACACAGATTTCTTTTCTTCGAATATTTATAAAAAAAAGATTTACGAATTAGATCTTAGATCTACGCATCCATTACAGCATTACAGCACTACATTAAAAATAATGAATAAAGTAACATAAAACGAGGATACTATTCATTTTACGGCCCACCACATAAGACGTCAAACCATCAAATTATCTTCATGTAATTGATTTTAAAACTCTTGTAATAAAACGTATGGTGTGTCCTTATCCTTTCTAGGGTTATTAGCTACAACGTCAATCATTCTTTAATTACTTAAAAGTAATAATAAATTAAATTACCTAACTAATTAAATTTTGTACTTGGTTCAGTGTTACTTGTTCCTTTGTCTATTGGCTCTACTCACACTAAGAATAATTTACCACAAAAGAAGAGACAGAGGCATATTAGATTTCCGACAGCGTTTACAAGGCATTTTACGGACTATATTCTATTTCTACTACTAGGATCAGGAGGAGGAGGAGGAGGATTCACTATTAGGATGGGCAAGATCGGAGATTATAGTCGAAGACAAATCAGGGAAGTTAATGGTAGAAAAGGAATAAAGCTTATACGGATGGATTGGCAGTAGGTATAAATAATAGCTAAAGCAGGCGAGGATCGCATATTTTCTAACTCCCTGATTAGGAATATATCCTGTGTCGCGGGTACTTTACAAACATACATGAAACGGATACAAAGAACACCCATACTTAGAACAACAATTAGTGGATCACACAAAGTGTCGTCCCATGTTGGGACCGGAACCACAACACTCAGCGTAGTAGTAAGCTGCGTGGCGACCGTTTAAGCCACAACGCCCTCCGTGCAGTATCTGTAATTAGAATTGGCTGTTGCCGAAAAATCCTGGTAAATAGTTACTAGAAAGCATTCTCTCTAAATACAATATCAGTATATTCTACTAATGAAATTAAGTCAAAGGTCAGGTTGTTTTTAAGTGTTTATACGCTTTATCACTGTAACTAACTAACCAGTAAGATTTAAATACTTATTTTTCTATTAAATAGAATATTTAAGATGGATTATGGAAGGTTATATGCTAACATTATGAGATATAACATCATGTCTTAGAAACAGAACAGTGACCTTAATCGCGGGTGAATCTGCGTTATAGTGGGTTTGAATTCTTCATACATTCTGTGACAGCGAGCATGTTACTTAACGACTTCCAAGTAGAAAATTGTATTGTATTGGGCCTGGATTTTGCTAGGGGTTTAGGTTATTTTCCTCTTTCCTCTTTTTGAGCAATAGAAAAAGTACATGTATTTAAATATATACAGAACTTTGCAGTGTCCTCATAGTGGAATAGTGTTTGGTACGTGCGCCTTTTATACAGCATCCGTTGGTCTAGAATGTACGTTCTTTCAACACCTAAATAATAGGTAATAATATTGCTTTAATGTACACCAGGTATAAATATACAATAATTAACTTAAAATAGGTTGGACAAGTACAAGTGGCGACGGCAATTATTTATCAAAAATGTTACCAAAAAATCTTCATCAGTCCTGGCGTCGTAGAAACTTCCAAACTCTAAGTGGAGAACGTAGATATTCCGCAAATATTGACATAGTCTGAGTGCCTCATCTCATTGCATGACGCTGCGGAATCTGTCTTCGGTAGAAACGTGGAATGCGTCGAAAGTAAAATTACAATATATTGTGTGTGCTGTTCATGCTTGGTACTTGCGATTTGTTGATCAAAAGAATTTGTTTGGCGTTCATGTTTCATTGGCAACTCAAGGAGTTTATAAAGGGAAATACCTTTATGATTGTTGCTTTCCTACCATATTAGGGACTGTTTTATGCCTTTCTTTTCAAATCAATGTCAATTACCCGTACGTAACTGTTTTGTTAATATGGTATTTTTTGTAATATATAATCAATTATTGTGGGATTATAAGCGTTGAATGTAAAAGCTGACCAAACTGAGATAAGCTGGTTATTCTCGTCACAAAGTAGGTAGGTGCTCGAAACCTAGAGAAACAGGAGACGATTTATTGCCTGCATAAGATGATGATTTCATGTTTAATCAATTTTGCCATTTGCGATTGTTTTGTTATGTTTAGCAAAGTTTTGTTAGAAGGTTAAAATGTCTTTTAACTGATCTCTGGTCGGCTTTTTTCGTATATTGTGAATATTGGTTTATTCTGAAGATATAAGTAATACAATACAAAAAAGATTTAATGTTAAAATAAAATGTGCTTGACCAACTATTTGGTATACACAGAATCAGAGAGTCGCATATCCATTCATGTATCAAATATAGTCCTAATCTATAGAAATAACAAAAATTGGAGTGTCTGTTTGTAATATTAAAAAAACCGCTTTTTACTAAATGCATATGTTACACGGTACATAAGCCACAATAACATTTTTTACAATTTTTGTCTGTGTGTCTGTCTGTTTGTTCCGTTTAATCTCTGGAACGGCTGGACCGATTTTGACGGGACTTTCACTGGCAGATAGCTGATGACATAAGGAGTAACTTAGGCTACTTTTTTAGACTAGCTTCGGCCCGCGGCGTTGCCCGCGGTTATAACAACAAACGCGGGTAACACCGCGGGTCTCAGCTATTATATAATATAAACGTATAAATCAAGAGTTTTTAGTTGAAGAGGTTAAGCACTTATTATTTAATGTATAATTATACGAATTTTATTTTATTTTTAACTTTATTTATAAAAATCAGTTTAAAAAGTGTACTTTTGTTTCTTTCCAGCATTAACATAGTGTCTACTAATGATTGGGGCGTGGGGGTCGCGATGCGGGAGGAGGACCTGGAGGTGGCGCTTAAGGTGGTGATCGTGGGCGATGGTGGCGTCGGCAAGTCCAGTATGATTCAGCGCTATTGCCGGGGGACGTTCACGCGGGATTACAAGAAGACTATAGGCGTGGACTTCTTAGAGCGGCAAATTGAGTAAGTATCTAATACTCACGCACGCACAGACATATCATTGTACATAACTAAACTAGGCAGAGCCTGTGCTACGGCAACCAGGCTGCTAATAAATATACTTAAATATTTCTAAATACATACATATTATAGATAAATTACACAAAGACACAGAACAAATGATCGTGCTCATCACACAACAGCCTCTTATAGACCACTGCTGGACATAGGCCTCTCCTTAGAAAGGAGGTTGGTATAGGGTTTGTTTTAAGTTTTGAATCGGGGGGGATCTCTCGCTACCGGCCGTCATACCCTCCATGACCGGTAGTGACAGATGTTTCACCGCGGTCGCATCATCTTGCAGAAGGAGGGCCCGGGAGAACAACCTCCACTTATCCATCGCCGGCGAACCGCACGGCGGAGGCGCGCTTACCACCGCCTCATGCCGCTCTGAGTGTGGCCGTGGTTTTCCCCTCCACCCGCCATAACGGCCAGCCGCGAGGAGGCTACGTCCGCGTGTGCCGGACGTCTCCTAAATAGAGAATGCACCAGAAGGTGGTGCCCGCAACGGCGCGGGCTAGGAGTGGTCCGGATGTCTAAATAACAGCAGTTCCCGGTTCCCTTCTATTATAAGCGCAGAGTGGCACACCGTGTGGTTTTAGTCGGTCCGATTCCGACACTCCACCCCGCCGCAAACCCCCGTGGGCTAACGGCCCGAGGGGGTTTCCACACGTAAAAAAAAGGGGGTTGTTCTAAGTTTACCTTCTCTTTGCAGTGCTGTTTTCCTGATGAATACGGGTGATGATACTTCGTATTTTTAATCCAGTTACGACACGGACAACGGCGAAATAAACCAAGACATTTAACTACCGTCAGACGATCACAAAAAAAAATACACTTTTTCTAAATATGCAGGTTTACCTACTAAATAAAAGACGTCAGTAATTAAAAATAAAACTAAAACAAATTATCACCAAACCTCCCACCAAGAAATCAGTTAAGGCAAATAAACCATTAAGTTGAGTGGTCTTACACAGGAAGTCAACTTAATTGCACTTGTGATTTTCATTAATTCACAGACGTGACTAGATGTGATCCAGTCGATGTAACATGAAGGTACATAAGTATTGCTTAATGAGAGTAATTAGATTTGATTCAGAGATACGTGACAGATACTTAGTTTGTTTTGGTTACTGCAGCATAAGAGTGCTTACAATTTAACTGAGTTCTGTGTTTTGCATATCGATTTCAAATTATTTTAATCCTTTTTTTATTTGATTACTATTTTATATAGCAAAATAAAGGTTTGTTTAGAATAATTCCCCATCAAGGCTTAACAATCGTAAATTCAATTACTATATTATAAAAAAAAAACTTAAAAGGTACGTATGTTTTAAAAAAGGGCTCGGACTTCATATATATATATATATACATAACACGAAACTTGCAAGGTAATTAACCTAGTCTGTGGTTGTGAAAAATTAGCACCAAATAGACTTTATATTACAAAGTAGTCAAAATTAACTAAGATCAACAACTCAAGGTGAAGTAGGCTAAACTGAAGTAGGGAAATGAATTAGACTCCTATTGAAAGGACTAGGAGACACTACGAGTAAAATCACCATAAGACAGCATGTACATTGCCTACAGCTTCAGTATCCTAGGTTCACCCAGGATAACTCATTAGTAGAAAAAGAAACGTACACCAGTAAAGCAATACCCAGCACATGCGCTTCGCTCAGAATAAATTTAAACATATATCGTAATACATACACATATACTGTTGTAAACTGGGTTGTACTGGGTGTAAACACCCAGTGAAGTACATCAGCTGTACAGGTCGAGCTCAGCATTCAACCCAATACTATTCACCCTTGTTTATTTTAGCGTGGTGGTACCCGACCGGTCGTGCATTTAGATTTTAACAGAAATCTTCCTTTCTTTTCCAGGATAGACGGCGAAGAGGTGCGGTTGATGCTGTGGGACACAGCAGGTCAAGAAGAATTTGATGCCATCACGAAGGCATATTACCGTGGCGCACATGCGTGCGTTCTGGCGTTCTCTACGACAGATAGAGACTCCTTCCTCTCCCTACACTCGTGGAAGCTCAAGGTATGTGTATCGAGCTAGGCTGTTTTCAAAATTAGGTTTTCTAGAAAATTAAGTAATAGATAAAGTGCCATACCTAACTATAGAAATAAAAGTATTTACCATCTAAAATTATTGTAAAAGAAAGTAAATAATAACATAAAATACTTCTCATATCTCAGGCACGGCTCTGACTCCAAACTAAGCAGAGCCTGTGCTCTGGTAACTAGACTGCTGATAAACATGTTTTCTAAATTCATAAATATTATAGATAAATTAAATGCAGGAACTGAAGAACTGATCGTTCTCATCACACAATTATTTACCTCTGGCTTGTTAGTCAGCATAATGAAAGCAAGAAAAAAACTAGCGAGCCTTTCAGTACTCGCATGTGATGTGTAATATCTGACATCTTACCTACCGTTTGAGACTCAACAAGACACCGCGCGATTCATTGGTTAAAATAATCAAATACAGCGAACGCTCATTAGTTAAATCAAATACCGCGCGCTTCCCCTGCTTCTTGTTACACACTTCCGCTTCTTTATACAAACTTACTCCTGCAGATTACAGATGCTACATAAAAAAAAGGAAAAGAATACATGAACGAATCATTTGGGTAGTTATGGAGCTGTCCATTTAAGAGTATTTTTGGATCTAATTTTATATTTTACTATCCATACTTGTATTATAAATGTGATAGTGAGTTTGTTTGTTACGCTTTCGCGCCTAAACCACTAAACCGATTTCAAAAATTATTTTACCAATGGAAAGCTACATTATCAGCGAGTAGCATAGGCTACTTACTTTTTACCGCGATAACGGTACACGCGGGCAAAGCCACGAGTAAAAGCTCCTAAGCAAAAGTATGTTTCTAAATCTTCTTCAGTAATATTATTGAGTAGGAATACCTACATTAAATTCAGTAACCACTCCATTAACGAAAACATACTGAACTAACGAATATTCAAAAATAAAAAATATGTCAGTTCTATACAGAATAAGCGACCCACGCAATGCACTGAGAAATCATGAATCTTCTTTGCAAGAAATGAATATGGGCACTCATGTGTCTTAACATTAGGGCAAGGAATGAGTTAAGAATCATAGCTAAGTTGAGAATAGAAACAATTAAAAATACCTTAGTTTGAATGCAAAATAAAAGCGCAAAAAGATCATAGAACTTTCTTGTTAAAATTGTTTTATATTCTTCAAAGCGTTTCTCTGTTTTAGTAACTTCGGTTGTTATCAGCAATATATATATATATAGTTGAATTCAACAAACTTTAAAAAGTTGTAAACACTCAAGTAGTCTTAAAATTTTATCAGTTAAAATGATAAACATTTGCGTTCTACGAACATTATTAGCACTCAAATTAAACACACGTGTATGTATTTCGAAATATATGAATTTCTATATGTAGTTTATACACATATTTAAATACTAAGCCGTTAAAATTTAGTGCAATGTCCTAGGTATTTGGTTAATTGAAGCACAACATTAAGATAAAGTCTGCGGGGTCGTGACTCGTCGCTCACAACAGTTTCATGTACAGTCAACACGTTAAATTACTCAACTCTTCTACGTCAGATAACCGACAGCGTAATAATATTAAGTAAATTACTAGGTTATTAATAGTTAACATCCTTTCTTTATGGTTTCAAAGTAGTAAGTAGGAACGACACAAAACCCTTTTTGTCTTTGCAATAATGTGGAATTTTGACCTCTGTAGTAATATAAGACGCTAGAAGCAATGACGGTTTATATATCATTGGCTAGAAAAATCATTCTCAACGCCATCTCAGTCTGAAACCTAGCCGCAGAACAGCAGACGAACACCTTCCAGCAGGAAAACATTTAATTAGACGGAGGATCACGTTCTTCTTTTGAGAGTAAAGAAAGACAAATATAACATTTAAAATTATGAAGATTTATTTTCATTTTTTTATACATTAAAAATGCGCGTCGTCGAGCAATAATAAACTGATACTTACGTTAAGATCAGCATTAAAACATGTAATATACTCATTAAAAGTTTTGCTATGCCTGGTTGAAATTGAACATGCTTACCGTACGCGCTTGACAATCTAATACGTACCACACAAATACAAGTATCGTTTTACATTGTTTACACTCCCGTAAGTATATCAGGACGCAGTACATTCATCTTGAAAGATCACAATCATTCGGCAAGATGCACGAGAAAATGTACTCAGTAGTCGTGTTATTAGTTTTATTTTCTGGAGTGAATTCTATTGTAAACCCGCTATGGGAGAAGCAATGCATTGAATACTTTGCTACGGGCGTAAATTACGATTTAAAAGAATTACCAAGTGATATGTATACACTTTACTACTGGCCGCCGAATCAGAGAGAACGCGATAGGTGTGAACACATTACTTTCACGAATTTGACGGAGTATGAAGCTGCCGAAGCCAGTTCAAAATGCAGTAATTTGCGTCTGCCATCGAATCAAACTGTAATCAAAGGGACATACATCAACAACGTTGGGAAGCAAGTCAATTTACTGTTCTACGGCAATGAAGAAGTAAAGGAAATGTACCGCGCGTGTGATAAAATAATATCTAAGTATATTTTTATAAAAGTGAACGTTAATTATGTGTTAGGAATCAACTGTTCATCTGGTGGAAGAGGTATGCTGTTGTCGAGGTATTTAGCTGGGAGTACAGAAGTTCAGAGTGTGGCTGATACCATTGAAATCATGACAGGTCGTGAAGGAAAACCCGACTGCCCGCTTAGCGCTTAATATATATTATATAGTTTATTTCTTAGATTAATAGTGACACAGTAGTAGTAACTTATACAAGAGATATCAGTTTGTTTTTCAAATTTAAGTATGACGTCTTAGATATTATTCAGAAAAGTGTTGTACTAAAAAAATTTGTACAATTATAATCTCATTATTTTTATTATTGTGGTATGGTATCGTGAAAATCTAATATATATAGAAAAGGAGAATGCCCATTACAGTATGAAAATCAGTTTTACATTTTTTTGCTATGTCAAATATGTATGTACGAGTATAAACTTCATTAAAGCCTGCATTGAGTATTATCTGAAATATTAACGTACGAGTATATTGTAAACAGAACTTGTGGTTATTGGGAAATTGAATGTGAAAATATTAACAACGAGAAAATATTGTGACACTGACGTTAGTGTTTTTAACAATGTTTGTAGCATCGTGTTTTTGACAGGGAAACCATGTTTAAATTAAGGCAAAACTAACACTGAAGTAAACATCGACTGTATAAACTACTAGTACATACACGAAATAAAAACGGCGTGAGGGGTCTATGGAACGAAGTTCCTTTCGCGTTGCTATATATTTGAAATTTGAAAAAGATATGAGTGTCAACGCGCCATCTGATGGGTCGGAAAAAAATCTTGTTACACATTTTTCGGTCTCGCTCCCATCTAGAGATGTGATTAAAAGTTACAAAAGATTATTTGTTAAAAAGTTATTATTAATAAAAAATAACCTTTTAAGTTAAATGTCATAATTATAACGGATAAGGTTATCAGTTTCTTAGATTGTAAATATTGAATGCTTGTTTTTAGTTTAACGTTAAGTATATCTACTCACCTTTTTATTAAATACCTATTTACTTGAAATAATCGTTAAGTTAAAACTTATGCACTAATAGTTTAAATTACTTCAAAGATAAAGATTAAAAAACCCATGTGACACCGCAATCAACTCAAGTCAACCGTTGTCCGTTGAATGAAATTTATTTTATTGTTTAGTTTCACCGTTTGTTTACAGTATAGTCTCTACTACTCATAGTCTAGTGTTTAACGTATGAAACGTTATAAGTTATTTTTATTTCGGATCAACAACAAAACCTACCCTAAGCGTGATAAGACTCACAGTTCTATGTATTCAGCTCGCGACAAGGTATTAAGGGTGCTTTTTGTTATGTCAAGCAATTTAAGTCTTATAATTTGACCAATCAAGACGTAATAAAGATCACTATTGTTTGCTCTTATTAACAACGACATCTGATTCATAAACTTTTACCAAAATAAAACTCTCGAATCCTTTTGTTGTGCCTAATGAGTTATAAATTTTAAGGTTTATGTCAGAATTACTTATTAATGTTAATAGTTTAAAAAATCATGTGTTAAAATAAACGTTTAAACTTTTAATCCTCACATCGACTCCCCTCCGCTCAGAGCGTGTAATACGCGATAAAGAACTTCGTTCCAATAAAATTACTCAACTGCAATATATTTTAATGTGATATTACCAATTATTATCACGTATATTATTATTTAATTAAAATGTTTATTTGCATTCAACCAGTAATGGTTTATTTTATATAATTTTATTCAAGTTTTAGTCCTTGTAAGATTTAATTTAAAATCCTAAGTTCAATAGAAGAGATTTAGGGCCGAAAAGTCACCTTAATTTCTTTTTTTTTAAATTTGAAATACTGGCGCGAACGTCTAAAAGTGAAACCATAAATGGGCATTCTCCTTTATAGTTAGAGACAAAAATATCTAGAAATTACGAGAGAGAGAAACTATGTGTGAGATCTAAAATGTCTAATTATGTATTCGTGTGTAGCGTTTTGTATATTAAAAAAAACACACCTGTTATTTGCGTTTTTCTTTACATAGTAGTTCAAAAATAAACCAAACAAAATTAGAGAATAACTGAATTATTACATGAATATTCTTTTTGTGATTCTAAACAAATGTTATTCGGGGCTAAAAGTTATAAAATACAGGTTTTTTACGTATATCTCGGTCACTGATTGAAAAAATACTAGTTAACACTACGTAAGGCTTTGCCGATAAAAGACTAAATTTTTCATTAAAGCCAAAACACTTTTTACGATAACTTGAGTCTAAAAACTGTAATGATCCACATGAAGCTGTTTTTCCATATTTTCAATCAAGAAACACGAATATTGGGATATTAAATTTTATTGGGAAAGTAACAATAATACCATATAAATGCCTTTATTTTCATATTAATCTTCACACATCGGGGCAAAGCTCTTGTAACAATTATCTTTTGCGCTCAGAATAAGAATCTGCTATAGTTAAATTAAAATTTGATGGTGTTAACATTTTGTTAAAATTTGAATTATACCCATTGTATGAACTATTGTGACCATCAAGTGTATAAACACAGACAGGCAGCATCTTGTCTCAGCTGCTCGTGTTTGCCCTCATACAAATACAACTTAAACAATAATAATATAGCAATAGTCAACCGATGATTTTATATCTTTAACATGTATAAAAAAACAATTTATGAATTGCTTTTTTTTCAGGTGGAGAATGAATGCGGCGAAATACCGACAATTATAGTTCAAAATAAAATTGACTTAATGGATCAATGTGTCGTTGGACCGTAAGTATTTAAACCTAAAAAAAAACTGCTATATAAAGTAAACTACCTTCGAATATTAGCCTACTCAGTATTAGGGCATATATTTAGGCTATATTCCACTTTTCACAGCGTGTTTTTCGCAGACTTGACGGTTTCTGAAAAACCTTCGTAAAAATTGAGGAGAATTGTCATAAGCTACCGCATGATTTCTTCCTTCACTTCCTGTTTCGTATTACATTCTTTATTCGCAATGTTTATTAACAATGAACGTTAATACTTGGCATGACATCATCGTCGATAACCTATGACGTAGAAAATTACTCTTTCACATAAATTCTTGACTCACACAACAAATGATTACCATGTAAACTTAAAGAGAAACGTAAAAATTTAATTTTTAATATAAATATTAAGTATATATAACTTTAACAATAATTTGCTTCTTTTAATAGAGACACAAAATCAATTTTGGCGTCTTGATATTGGATTCAAGACTCTAAGAGGTCTATTACTATTCAAATGAAAACAAAAGAGGAAGTCAAAGCTTTTAATAGGTACGCGTTTGAAGCTTTCTACAAGTCAAATCCACATCCATAAAAAGTGTGTCTCTCTGTTTGTCAGTCGCTTAAACCGCTGAACATATTTAGATGAAATTTAGTATAGAAATAGTCCGAGTACCGGGTAGTTTTTATCCCAGAAATTATCCTTTAAGGGAGTGAACAGGGGGTGGATGTTTGTATGGGGAATCAATAACCGCTGAACCGATTGAGATGTAATTTGGTACCTATGGACATACTTTGATTCTTGAAAGACATAGACTTTTTACTGCGATAACCGACACAGGTATACGCGGGTGTAGCCGCGGGTAACAGCTAGTACCTAATATTAATACAATTTTGATAGACATGCCTTTCTAATATTTACCCATTTCCATATTTAAACCAGGTAGCGTGGGTTTCCATGTTAGTGCAAATGATATAACAGCTCTACAGCAACGCATTTAACCTATCTTGAAAACTTTCCAGAAATAAGTTAATGTTCTGCTCTGAGTTCATCTTTATGATTGTTTAGAAAAGTAGTTAAAGTAGTATAGTAGTTGTATTAACAAAAGCGGGTAGTTGCCTCTCAATAACACCGCATCCTGGTTACGGATATTATATAAAACATATATTTATATAAAACACATTTAGATGTATTGTATTAGATGTATGAATGTTCCCTACATTCAAATATCACAGGTTTCCGAACAGAAGACGGATCAGCCTGGTAAGTGGCTAAATTCTTCCCTTCCACCATTTTTTCTTGAACGCAGTTTTCTTTGTGGCCGTGATATCACTCCTGCCGAGCCGCCTCATAAGTGCCAGAGAATGGCTCACACATGGCAACATTTTGCGACAAACGGTTTAAGAAACAATCTTTTAATATTTTAGAGACGAGGCTGAACTGGTTGCACGAGCGCTGGGCTGTAGATTGATGCGGGCATCAGTTAAAGAGGATGTAAATGTCGGCGCCGTGTTTAGAGCGCTCGCAGCGAGATGTTTGTCAGACATGCGGCGGGATGACGCTGCTACTGAAAATTCTCTACCGCCATGTATTACACCAGTCATAGGTAAGAACTTGTGTAAAGGTTACCTTATTATCAAACACACATATGTCTTAGCTCTGTTTAAGATTTGGTGCAAAAATCTAATAAGATTAAAAAAAAGAAAAAAAAGAAGGGGTCTTATTCGAATGTATTTTTTCATGTTTGTAACCCCAGAACTTCCTCATTTATGAACTGATGATGGCCAATAGGGAATATGCATGTATTTTTTTTTAATTTTTTTAAACGATTCTACTAGTTATTACATTACCAAAAATAAATATAACACATCCGAAACATAAACCGTTAAGCAAAAAAAAATGTATTACAATCACTATCATTTTGGGGCAATTTGAACACGTCCATTTTGGCGCGCTTTTTTTGTGAGGTCAGATTACACTTTCAGACGAATTCGATGTCAACAACGGAGTGAAGTTCACAAAGTTAGTAAAGGTTAAAAAAGTTAGTGATAAAAATTAACTTATTACCATGGAAAAGTCAATAAAAGTTATTATAAATATTGTGCCGTTCCTTTGTGCCCAAATAATATCAAAACTGCACCTGACAAAGTATATTCAGTCATTGTGTTGAGTCTTTCTACACGGGAATTTAATAATTTAACACTGAAAACGTATTAGTAATTAACTTAAAATGAAACAAATAATCACCAGAAACCAAATATTACAAATACACACAACTCGTTGACACTCTTGACAGTGTAGGTTGACGTCACGTTTTATTCAACCAATAGCGTTGTTTTAGAAATTTGCGAGGGAATCTTAAAAAAGCCAATTCTTGATGATTAAATTTCACTATTAAATTATAATAAATTTCAAAACCTACCTTTTTTTAGCAATAAAAATTACAAATAAAAATATTTTGTCCATTTTGGTGTCACGAGCATATTCCCTATTCTTTATTATTTAGGAGGGGATACTTTTCACTTCATACTATTATATAAGTGGTTATTCTTCTTCTTCTTTGAATAGGAATGAAAAATACAGTTTATAACTAGTCATCATGTAGGCACATTGAAATCGGTGATAATTTTATTTAATAAATTACTCAAAAACTATTTTTTTTCATAAAATACACAAATGTGAACAGTTTTTCAGTGAAGTCTCTTTTAAATGATTAATTGGTTATTTGTTTTGAAGAGTTTTCACTAAAGACTTTAATTATGAGGAGACTCAATTCAGATTGATATTAATAATAATATAATGTCCTCAGGTACCTTTACAAACCACAACAGCAACGGCACAATCCTGTTACGGCCGACGAAGCACAGGCCAGGCGGCAAGAAGAAGAATGTCTTCAAAAACGCATGCAGAATATTGTGATGTGTCAACTAACACGACATTAGACATTCCAGAAGATAGTTTATTAGTCTTTTATATTTCAATTGATAATTTTCAGAAAAAGTACTAAAAATGCTCTTAATACTCTACTCATACAAAAATTCTATAAGTTGTTGAAAAAAGACGTTATGTGATTTTTTCATTTAAAAAACCTGACCCAATGGATGTTATTTTGATTGAGGCTCTTTCAAAATGTTCGAACAAATTCCGAGGACAATTTATTGAACGAGGATTTGTTCTGAACCTGGCAATAACAACGACGGTTTAAATTGGAATTCAAATTCAATGTATTTCTTAGTTGACTAGATTACATTTAAAAAAAAAGAAATACAAAAAGGAATACTTTGTAATATTTTTTTGCGAATTTGATTTTTCTATGTGTTTTAACAATATAGGAAAGGATAAAATAAATTATTAAAAAATCAATAACTTAATAAGAAACAGTCTATCAGTATAACATGAGAGTCATGACGCCACAAAAACATTTTAGGCATTTGTAAAATTATATATATAATTACTGACGTTAGTTGTTATTTTTTGTACTTTTGTAAATTTATAGTCGTAAGAGTTCAAAAAGTCGCTGATGTTCCATTATTAAACTATAAAATATACGGCCTCTTCTTCGCGGACTCTAAAACACTATCAAGAATAGTGTTATTCTTCGAGTGCATATTCAATTTCAAATTGACAAAAGAGCTTTACAGGTCTAACAGAAACGCAACCATTGCTTTAATTTCACAAAAGTAGTATGTGTAGCGTAGACTGTTAAATAATGCCGCTAAAACTGTTTGAACTTCCATAGACTATGTAATAACGTTTTAACAATATCTATCTCGAAAACCGAATTTGTAAAAATCAAAAATAGAACATGGAGCTTTAGAAATTTAAAAAACTTAGTCATATTATAAAATTTATTAGTTAGTTAATTAAAAATAACACATTTGTGTAAATATTTTTACTTATCTATTATTACATTCATTTATAGAAAATAAATTATTTGCAATTTATTTAGTGTGTTTTCATACCATCTAAAAATGCATTGCATATAAAATAAAGTTTGAAAAGGTTTTACTATACCCGAGCTATACAATGAGTAATCTAGCTTCTAAATCTTCCAACATTCAAAACAAAAATTTGGCACAAGGCATAATATTCTTTTGTTTTCATCATCGTGGGATATGAAACAATAACCAGATAATGGATTAGACCTTTTGTCAAGTTTCAGTTGTTGAACAACGAACTTGTCAATTAAAATGTGACCTACAAAAATAAAAATTACATTTGGACTCTATATTCTCTATAAATTTGGAAAGTCCCAACCCTATATTAAACGACAAGAACACTGAGTAGCTGAGAAGAAAAGATCACCGGAAACATTGAACAATTTAATGTGAACATTGAACAATTTGCTGACGACATTATATTGGTCAGAGCCGATGCTGAAGTGGCGGCAGGTAACAGAAAACATATGCAGTCCCAGGCTCAAACTGCAAGTAAACCAAATTTAGATGCGTCAGACTTAGACCTATATGTGAATGAATGTGGTCTAACGAAGAGAACGGATGAGAGAAGTCGAATGTAACAGAAATACGAATACAAACAGAAATATGGAACTTGACGGACACAAGAGTAGAGAACGACCCAAGAAAAGATGAATGGACTGCGTAAAAGAGGGTAGAGGGAGTAAACAGTGAACTGCCGAATGGTAGAAGTGAATGGAAAACAAAATCTCAAAGCTTTGATCTCAGATACTTATATTTGGAAATGGGCTAAGAAACTGATGGCGAATATTGAGTAGAATGCAAAATGGAGAAACTAAAGAAATTTAAATACATTGTCATAGCCAAAAGCGAATTGATATCTCACAAAATGCATATGTCATGGTGAAAATATAACAATTATAGTAATTTATAAGTTATAAGTAAGTATTGTTAAAAATATTTCAATTTAGATGAAGTGATCAAGATTCAATGTAGATGAATAAATACGTAATGTTTATATTTAACCAACATTTTTAACAGAGTGCACACAGTAGGATTTGGAACCAGGTTGTCATTTGCTGATAGTGTAACAATTATCGAAAAAGCAAACTAAAGGCATTTTAATATCTATAATATCATTGCAAATCTATTAAAACATTAATTTTAATAGAAATCTCAATTTACCATCCAATAATAGCTAATTCAATAATTACCCACGTGGTGTCAATGAAGTCCTGATGCTTCATTACAAATGCCATAACTCTAAAATGTGTCATATCACGTCTTGTAAAAGCATCGAAGGCGCTGTCAATTCCATAATTTTGTACGTGTAGCGGACCAGATACACAGACACTGATACAATGGATGTAGAGGCGGAAATAGAAGAATGTGGACTAAGAAATATCCCAGGGCTGCAGTATCCTGACACATAAGATTCTAATTTAAGACCAAACGAACTCTACAGTTGAACAACTGTAGACTGTACGGCATTAAATTATAAAATAGCGTTTGTCGTAAGCTGGCCGTATGTAATTATGAAAAATTGAAAATTTATTTTATGTCACTTTATGTCTCACTTAAATACTTATAAATTTGGAGTGTCACATTTCCAAAAGCCTTAAATACCTTACCCAACACATATATTTTGTGGTTGTCACAAAAAAGCCAAATGGATTCACCCCTTTATTAAAAACTTTTGTACAACTTTTTTGTGAATTCTATCTCAACGTAATTATACGTATCTCAACGTTTGTCGTAAGATCTTTCAAGTTTAGTTATATAATTAAATCAACAATCTTTAACAGTCCATTGCTGGACATAGGCCTCTCCTTAGAAAGGAGGTTTTAACCTACTATAATGGAAAATTTTAATATAATGTTGATATTATTAGTTCACAAAATCTTTTTGCAGATATGTGTCGCGTTCTACGCGGTCTTTGCAGAAGAAACACCTTCCATAGAATCGCTTCCTCAAATCCCTCTTCAAATAAGTTAGTAATGAGTTGGGAATGCCGCCGATGCTGGCTAAAGTGAAACCTAATTCTGACGACTGTCCGTCCTAAATAAGTATTTGTTAATACAGATATTAATTGTAATGAAACTACTCAATCTAGTTTTAAAATTATAGGCAAAGGTCGACTCGGCGAGAATGCCTAATGGCATTATATCCGCATTCGTACAACATGTGCATTAAGTTTAAATAAATAACTATTTGCTGATAACAGATCAAGATATATACTGCACACCTATGCCATCGGTTAGCCTTTTTTACAATATTTTAGTACATTTTATTCAAAAATTGTAGGTGTATGCATTTATTGCGCTGTGCGTCATTTTTTTTTTTTTGTTAAATTATTCTTTAGGGAAATAAACAGTTTTACAATAAATATAGGTACGCCGATAATACTGGTAGATTCAACTACTTGTACACCCACCACTGTCACCCCCAGTTTACGAATATTTAAGAAGCCAGCGTAGAACAAACGAAAAGATAACAAACAGTCAATGAGTTGACGTTACTTATTTTGATATTAAATCAGGTTACCAGACTAATACAAGAGTATTTGGAATACAATTTGAAGATAGTGGAATAGTGTGGATAAATATATTTCTTACAAAATACATCAAATTATAGATCAGTGTTAAAGTGCCATCAGCGGAACACTGTCTTACAAGTTGCCGGAATAGGTGCCTAGTTTGGAAAGCAGGGTAGGTAATATAGTTGTAAGCGTTTATTGGTATAATAAAGGTTGGTTGTAATAAAGGAATTAAGATGTAATAAAGTTATTGGAGTTTACTCCTTAATTCCACCAACCAATTCGGTTTGAAAAAAATATGAAGAGTAAAATTTTGTGATCGAGTGACCTCGTTACGTTTTTTGCGCGCAACCTATTGTGCGTACCTTTCACATTTTAGTAATCATCTACAGCCTTTACTGGTCCTCTGCTGGACATAGACCTCTCCTTAGAAAGGAGCTTTTGGCCTACTATACTGGCCAGACGGGTTGGTATAGGGTTTGTTTCAAGTTTTCCTTCTCATTGCAGTGCTGTTGTTTGTTTGTTCTTACGACACCCGATGAATAGGGGTGGTGACATTCTGTATTCTTAATCCGTCACCACACGGAGGATTTTTAGTATTCTTTAGTAATATGTGTGTATAACTTGTGTACTTGTGTGCAGTCGAATCGTTCTTCAGAAGTAAACTCCAGCTGACACACACACTTTATTATTATAAAGTCTCTTAGTTCCTTTATTTCTGAGGAAACTATTTTTTTAAATACATTATCTTCTAGACAATTTGTATAAATCAATCTGTACAGTAATCGTAATGTGATTTCATTTTACGCAAACGTCACCCCCAAGTACGCGTTCTTCAGCTATGACATGATTAAGTTTCGGTGGAAAAAGTGGTTAAGTAGGTCTGTGTAGCACAAATCCGTTGGGAATGACTAGGTATTGAATAAATAAATAATATAAAGTAGTATAATATAATATAAAATAAGTAATATAAGTAATAATAAAAGTAGTTTTTTCCAGAGCCGTAATACATACCAGTTCAAAGGACATATGACAACAACCCTACGCAGATCTGATCAAGTAAATATGGAAAATATAAACTAATGCATACCACAGTTTTTTTTTTATTTCGAACAATTTCTACAAATACCCATTAATATTCTACATTATATACGTTTTTTTAATGACACTATTCTCAATTCTGCTATTTTAATATTATAATCTGCTATTATAATAGAATATATCAATAGACTATCGATGGAATGTTGTCGGATTAGTTTTGAACTTTTCCTATTCTACTAACTACTCGTATGTAAGACCAATGGCCTCCGATGACTTGTCACTTTTATTACAGATCACAGTTATTTATCCAATATATTTGTATTGCGTACGGAGTTGTCAACAGTGACACCTGTCGCCCCGCGTCGCACTTATTGATTTATCCGAAGTAGATTGTAACTATAGTATTGATGTCTCTTCGTCCGCCA